GAGACACAAAATACACCCCAAACACTGGACCCAATGCTGACCGGTCAGGTTCCAAGGAAGGTAGAGTGTAACTCTCAGCTGGGTTTTGCAATAAAAAATAGGATATGTCTTTTAGCAATCAATAGTCTGCTTCTGATTTTGCATGTATATCAGACTCTTTACTTTTCTTTGAGAACAAGCCACAGATAAGCCTGTAAATTTGAGCCTAAGTTTTCCATTTTGTTTAAACTTAGAAGCTATAGTTATATTCTTCAGAATGTGGACAGTTACTAAAATAGCAATAGCAATAGCACTTAGACTTATATACCATTTCACAGTGCTTTACAGCCTTCTCTAAGTGGTTTACAGAGTCAGCATATTGCCCCCAACAATCTGGCTCCTCATTTTACTGACCTTGGAAGGATGGGAGGCTGAGTCAACCTTGAGCCAGTTAGGATTGAGGGAATCGAACTCTTGGCAATGTGAGCAGAGTTAGCCTGAAGTACTGCATTTTAACCACTGTGCCACCATGGCTGTTAACATCAAACAAAAGCTATCTTGGCTGATCTCAAAAAAACTAAGCAGGTTCAGGTATAGCTAATGTTTGGATGGGATAGTCAAAAAAAAAATCTTGGAAATTGGCAATAGTGAAATGCTTCCATATTATTGGTGAAGAAAGTATGTGATTATACTTGCACAGTGACCAAAATGTAAGAGAGACATGCGAGTTTACCTTTTTAATATTTATCGATAAAGTGATTTTATTCATCTAATTTCTGAAGGGAGACTATTCCATAAAGTAGGCACATTATTTTGAACATAATGTTTGTGGTCCTTCAGCAACACCCACCACAATATCAAACAAAAATGAGGAATAATTGATAGCTTTTCCAGGGATTGTATGAGTGTGATGAATTGATTCCACTATGAAAAGGTAATCTATAAGTAGTTCACACATGAATAAAATACTAAAGGAAAAATGTTTAAAATGACAGATTCCCTTTTAATTTATACCTGTCTGATTCTTTTCTACATTTTATAAGTTCTTTGATATATAAACTACACAAATTTAATATTAGTCATATAAACAGTAGGAGTACAAACATCTTCCCTTGACAGCTCAACCTTTGAAACAGCTGTAGCAACTTGCTACAGATAGCATCAGTACATAATATTTCCAAGGAACTTGGAACTTGAGTAAAACAGCATTGTGACCCTCAAGTCCTGCTTGAGGGTTTCCCATAAGTATTCGGAAAAGTGCTCTTCTAGTAAGTCTTCAGTTTACTTATCTTAAGTCTGAGCACTGTTCCCAGTCTCCAGAGAAAGATGTTTCTCCTTGTTAAATATGGCATATCACCATTTCATGTCATTTTTTTTTCTTCCCTTCTAGGATTTTTCATGTACATTGAAGCATCCAGTCCTAGAAAAGAAGGTGATAGAGCAAAACTCATTAGCCCAGTTTTCAGCATCCCTCCCAAAAACCCGTATGGAACCACAAATACTGCATATTGCTTCAGTTTTTATTACAACATGTATGGTCAACACATAGGTGAGTAATCATCATCTTTCATTGATGTTGCAAAACAAAAAAAAATAGAGAGTTTCTTCATTTTCTTAAGATGGCAATCAGACTACTGTCTGCATGTCTGAGTCCCACCAAATCACCTGAATACTAATGAACTTCAGAAAAAAAAATCAGATTGATATTGGGTCTGCTTCATCAGAGCCTGATTCAATTCAAGCATCTACTGAATATTTCAGAATTGGCCTTTCATTCTAGATATTAGATATATATGAATTCAATACACATGCTTTCTCGAAAGATGCTTTTCCGTGATCTGAAGTCCAAACAATTCTAGCCCACAATATTTGGTTAATGATCCTCCTAATTACCCCAAATTTATCCAGACCTTTCCAAAATGGGGAAACATTTTTTTTATTATTATTTTGGGGAAGGTTTGAGGGTTTTAAAGGAAAAATTAGGGCTGTAAGTCTTACAGAAGTTTAAGGGAACTTTTAGACCTTAGAAAACCCAACCTCCCTAACATTAATTGATTTTCCCAAAGAGCGGATGGCTTAAGAAGCAAAATTTAATCTTTGCAAAGTTTAAGATGCCAATTTCAACCATCAAAAAATTGAAAAAGAGGTACATAGATGGATATCAAAAATTTTAAAGTGCACTCCCCCCTGCTGTAAGAAGTTATATATTCCTTATTCTAAGATATTAAACTGAATGATGTCACATAATTCCATCAAGCAAGTCTTCCACCAAGTGCAACATCAATTCATTCATTCATTATTCATATATTCATTATTCATATATTCATCATTCATCTATCCATCCATCCATTCATTCATTCAATTTATATGGCCACCATTTTCAAACAAGTGTCTCTCAGCAGCAAACAATCATAAATATCACAAGACATTTGGCAGGTTTTTTTTCATCTTTGCAAATTAGTTGCAGTCTGTGCTATCAGACCTCGGACACCATTAGGTTAGGAAGAACTCTGACCAAAAACAATGTATATATCCCATCAGAAAGATTTCCTTTTAGCTTTGCTTGGAGCCCCTGTCTCCTCTTCTATAAGCTCAGTGTTTCCCCATTCCAGCTTGTTCAAAGACCCCTTTCAGACCTTGGCATCATTTGGGGCTGGTGGACCACCACCATATACATGAACATTCAGAGGTGAAATGTAAAATGTTGCTAAATGGGCATGATCCTTTTTTTTCTTTTTTCGAGAAAACATTTCACATTGTGCACATTTCTGTGCACAATTTCTGTGCACTCCTCAAATGTCCCCATAGATACGTTTGATTGAAGGACATATTCTGCGGTCTTTGGAACTGTTGGATGAAATTCTTTCTGGTTTCAAAATGAAACAAACAATATCAACTGTTGATTTTGCTGTTATTGCTGTTGTTATTACACTTTCCAAACTCACATCTTTTATAAAAACAAGTTATCTAAATTAGCACATCAGAAGTACCCCACTAAAGTAGAAAAATTGAATAAATTGACACTAGAGTTGCAGGAAAGTCCCCTCCTTAATATGATGTAGGAAGAGACTGAAAACTTTTCTTTCCCTAGGCTTTTATTAGTATTGCTTAAGCTTTTGTGTTTTATGTCTCGTACATTTTAGTGTTGTTTTTAATAGGGGTTTTCACTGTACCTTGTAAACTGCCAAGATCCATTAAGGGAGTTGGTGTCATATAAATGTTTTATATAAATTCATATATACCATGTAAGGAAATAAGGGCAGAGCTGATCATGGCAAACTAGAAAAATTCCCTCGTGTGCAGGGGGATATTTGGAGGAGGGGGGGAGTATTATAACCCAGTATCAATGTACAATTTATTCTCTATTTAAAAGATTTTAATTATAAAATTAATGATAAAAATCAACTCCCCCTCAGCTGGCTGCATTTTTTTTTCACATTCTTCCCCCTGCACAACATGTTTCTATTTCATTTTAGATGGGGGGTGTTATTTAATATCATTAATTGTATCATATTGCTGCTAAAAGCAATTAGAAGGAATAAAGGTCAATGAAAAATAAACCAAAGAGAAACAAAAACCATAGCAGAAACTAGTTGCTGCATCAAGCCATAACACTACAGAGTAACTATCTGCACATTGCATTCTAGGAAACTAAATGATAATCATAAATGACCAAAAGCACAACATGAAAAAGTGATGGGAAATAGACTGTTGCTGTCTCACACTTGCCTCCTGCTGTATTGGAAAGTGCATTGCTTTAAAAATAGGCACATCTCTTTTAAATCTCTGATAGGAAAATGCATTTCACCTAAAGACATTTTATGGTACATTCTGGAAATGTCTACAAGCCAACTTAAAAGTGGGAGGGAAGCAATTCAGTAATTGAGAGGCTCTGTTGGAAAATGCCCTTCTTTGCCAATTTGAGGGAGGGAACATGAATGATCAAGAGAATTGCCTTGAAAATAAAATCAGTGGGCAGAAAGCCATTGAAATGTAGCTTTTGGAGATCCTGTAATGTTCTGTTCAGCTGGTTCAGAACAAAAGAGTTGGATTCTTCCTGCCAATATACCCATGTCGTTGAGAACTTTCATATCATAAATGCATTTATAACCTAGGCTTTCCACCCACATGCTATTTTTTTTTAAAAAAAAATGCCTTGGTTGCATTTCTTATCATTAATACGTTGACAGTATCTCTCACATCATACTTCCCAAAACAAGTATATGAGGCAGTTGACTATGGTTGAAAATAGTGCCTAAATCCAGACAGTGGATTAATTTAGCAAGCAGGCTAAATCTTGTATGAACCTAGCCACTGTGAAGTCCCTTCAGCTTTACCAACTGATTGTTTGGCCTCTTTCTCCAATATACATGGAAGGAAGCTAAATACAATCCTGGCAAACTAAAACTTTCCCCATAGTAATAGTAAACTAATTATTGTTATGTCCCCCTAGACATAATAAATTAATTATTATTTAATATATGTTTTTTTACAAAAATTATTGAATATACAATTAAAAAACACAAAAGACACATTAAACATAATACAATTAAAGACAAAAAAGACACATTGGACATGATTATTATTATTATTATTATTATTATTATTATTATTATTATTATTATTATTATTATTATTATTATTATTATTATTATTATATTTAAATTTATATCCCGCCCTTCTCCTCGCGGACTCAGGGCGGCTGACAATCAGTTAAAATACGTAAATGGCAATTACAAATTTAAAATTAATTAAAAAGAAATATTTTAAACATAGTCCAATTAAAATATAATTAAAACCCCTCTAAAAATTACCCTAGGCCAGTCCTGCAAGCTGGAATAACCAAGTCTTAAGGGCGCGGCGGAAGGAAGGGAGATCAGGGATCACCCTGATCTCTGGGGGCAGTTCATTCCAGAGGGTGGGAGCTCCCACAGAGAAGGCCCTCCCCCTTGGGGTCGCCAGCCAGCACTGTCTGGCCGACGGCACCCTGAGGAGGCCCACTCTGTGGGAGCGTACAGGTCGATGGGAGGTAATCTGCGGCAGGAGGCGGTCTCGAAGGTATCCAGGTCCGATGCCATGGAGCGCTTTAAAGATGATAGTCAACACCTTGAAGTGCACCCGGAAGGCCACAGGCAGCCAATGCAGCTCGCACAGCAGCGGTGTCACATGGGAGCGTCGAGTCCCTCCCAACACCGCCCGCGCGGCCGCATTTTGGACCAGCTGGAGCCTCCGGGTGCTCCTCAAGGGGAGCCCCATGTAGAGAGCATTACAGTAGTCCAGGCGGGAGGTGACAAGGGCATGAGTGACCGTGCGTAGGGCGTCCCGGTCCAGAAAAGGTTGCAACTGGTGAATCAGGCGAACCTGATAAAACGCCCCCCTGGTCACGGCCGCCAACTGATCATCCAGTGTCAGCTGCGAATCCAGGAGGACACCCAAGTTGCGTACCCGATCTGAGGGAGCCAATGTTTCGCCCCCTATAGTCAGCGATGGAATCAGCTGACTATGCCGAGGCGCCGGTAACCACAGCCACTCGGTCTTGGATGGGTTGAGCCTGAGTCTGTTCCTCCCCATCCAGACCCTCACGGCCTCCAGACACCGGGTCATCACGTCAAGGG